TAGGTTTTGGACATTACCATTCAAGGGAGAACATATTGAGGCTTACAAATCAGTATCCACCGCTGTCCCATTTAGATCATATCTTACCCATCTTCTCTTGATCTCTGCCATTGCTAAAAGAAACAGGTAGCTTCAGGTGTATGAGATTTTAAAAAATCTAGCAGATTCTAGACCTAGAATGGATAGAAAAGGAAAAATCCTAGAGTAGAATAATGGATTACGTTAAGAGGATGTCAAATGTAGTAAAATTAATCTCACTGAATATTGTTGTTTGTATTTTTCTAGGCAATCGATAGCATTCATCAAGTGGGTGTTTATTGTCTTGCTCTGGTGCCTGCCAATACATTGCCAAAAACTCCTCTAGGAGGGATCCACATATCTCAGACGAAACAGCTCTTTCTGGAGGGATCTCTACATCCTTGCAATATCCTCATGTGCCCACATACATGTGTGACCAATTTGCCAAAACCCCGACAAAAGCAACCAGGTAATATGCTAGCTTTGAAGACATAACATTAAAATTATAACTTCAAGAAGCTGACTTTTTTCAGCATGATTCTTTCTCTAGAACTGGATTTTACAAAGACTGGTAACATAAGAGTAGTATTAGATGACCAAAAGCAGGGAGGATTGAGAGCCTGCAGAATCTCCTTCTCTGAGTTTATTACTGTCATCCTCTTCTGAGTACTTCTCAGTAGCATGCTTCCATTTCCCCTGGATGTAAGGCTTGGGGTCAAGATGATTGAAATCTCACTTGTTGAACTGGAATAAAAGAAGTCCTCTAAGAGAAAGTTCTGATAATAATAAGAATAGCTAGTATTTATTGAGTGCTTACTAAAAGCCAGATACAAGCTAAGTATTGTACATATGTGACCTGAAAGTGTTGCCCCAGCTGTGGAAAATAAAGTTCAGAAAAGAATTGTGCTCAAAGTCATATAGCTAGTTAGTGGCTGAGTTGAGACTCACACCAGGTGTGACTCTAAAATCCACACTCTGAGTCACTATGTTATACTGCCTTTCTGTTGGGAATCACTTACCAAGAGTCATCCCTCAGTCGTTTTAAGCTTTAAGGGTCTGATTTGGGCCTGTAATATCTCTAGGGAGCAAGATACTTAATTTCGAAATTTTCCACATTATAAGCACAAGATAAATAGCATATTTTGCATTTTCCGAATTCCTGTGAATTCAAGATGCAAGTAAGTGGGGCGCCTGGGTGGCTCAGTCGTTAAGCGTCTGCCTTCGGCTCAGGTCATGATCCCAGGGTCCTGGGATGGAGCCCCGCATCGGGCTCCCTGCTCCGTGGGAGGCCTGCTTCTCCCTCTCCCACTCTCCCTGCTTGTGTTCCCTCTCTCGCTGTGTCTCTCTCTGTCAAACAAATAAAATCTTTAAAAAAAAAAAAAAAGATGCAAGTAAGTGTACATGAATTGCCATATGGAAAAGAGGAAAAAAAACCCCAAATAGTCCATTTCACCTTTTTGCCTTATTTCTGAGCAGACAGAGGTTACAAGGCTGAGTAAGAGGCTAAAGGGAGGAGTAATTGATTGATGGTCAATCATGTTGAAATATCTGTTTAACCCAAACTGAAATCATTACGTTTTTTGATGCTAATTTATTTTAATTGAGAAGTTAATAAGAGGCTTCTAGTGTCCTGAATGGCTGAAAACATGAGAGCCCAAATCTGGACTTTACAGATCCTGCCACCACCACCCACTCACCTACTTGCACATAGGTGCACACACACAGACAGAATGTCCATCAGCTCATTGGTCTCCAAATGTGTTGGGAAGAGAGGAGGTAATGGGGAGATTAGGGAGGGAAGGGGAAGTGTGGCATTTAATCATATTTCTGTAAGACAGCTTTTACTGAAAGGTAAACATAATGTACAGTAATAAAAGGTTAGCCTCTTGGGCGCCTGGGTGGCTCAGTTGGTTAAGCGACTGC